TATGTTTCCAATTTTGCCCAAACCAGATATCTATCCTTCCATAATAAACTTCAGAACCATCCCAACCCTCTCGTTTCTAACCTTTCTTCCTCTTCTATCACTGATAACCCTCCGAGGCGTCTGAAAAGAAGATGGTCTCGAGATCTCCTATTGTAAATACTTTTTTTTTTTTTTTTATAGTGCTACCAGTGAGTAGTTTCTCAACAAGTGATTTCATGTTATTATTTTCTGTTATGAAATTTACTAAATGTATTTTATTTATTAATACAGTTGAAACTGTCATAAATAAATAAAAAACTTATTATTGGAGAAGTTACTTAAGGAGGTTGCATTTTTATTTTTGAGAACACCTTTAAATAATTCGTTGAAGGAAGTTTATCGACTGTTCCACATAAAATGGGTGATAAATATTCAGGACGCAGTGCTGACATTAGAGTAGGCACAAGGTATTAGAGTACTTGAATACCTTCAGTGCTCGAAACACGTCCTGATGATGACCTACATATTTGTATTGAAACGTCGGAACCAATAAAAAACTTTATAATGGCTGCCTCCTGAATATTTATCACCCACTTAAATAGATATAAAAAAAATTCATTCCTAAAGCTTAAATAAACACAAAAATGGTACTTCAGAGGAAGCTAAATACATTCATCATTCGGCACTTATTAGAATATTTCAATGAGGGTTAAGCCAAGCCACCAGCGGGCCCGAATATATTTTAATAAATTAAATTAAAGTCCGAAAGATTTCTTCTTAATATACACAGTGTCTCAAACATTAATGGCTAAACTGTGAGAAGAATGGAGGGAGTTGATTCTAGACATTTTCAACAAAAAAGCTCAATTGATGTATGGATCGATTCCGAAAGGAATAGGGGTTTGGACAAATTTTGTGTTTTCGTTAAGATTGTTGCGTTTTTATTTAATAATAAGGAGTTTGTCAGAAACTGTTCAATATAATTAAATTCTAAGTACACCATCGTAAAAAAGTTGAGCAGACAGAAGAGACTTATAATCCGGGAGCCCGGGGCAAAAAAGTTGTCATATTTCATACTAAGAATTGTCTTTATAAATTGACCACATCCACAGGTCTTATGACAAAAATGCATGTCTGCCAGCATATAGCCGCTGGAATACAAAATGGCGGCAATGGTCATCTTACATAAGTTGTGAACGTATATATATAGAGGCCTTATAAATATATAAAGCTACCAATTCTTTCTATTTACAGTCTTAAGACATGAAATAATAGTCAGTTACCCTATATCCGTGGATTTCAAGTCCAAAAATTGAATTCACGATTCACAAAATTTACTTTTTTCAGTTCTTCGCTTATATTAGTGAAACTATGCGTTCTATCTATAATAATGTCATATTCGAAATTAAAGCTGACAAAATTTGTAATAGAAATGATCATATTAATTTTTTCGATATAATCTATAGTTTCCGTCCTTGTAATTCACTAATATCGAGAAAAAAAATTGTTTGCATTTTTATCATTATTTGACTCGCCAATTCTATATCTTTTCATTTTACGATAAAGCCACGACGAAGAAAGTTGTTTAATATTAAATTTTCTTTATGAATATATACTACTTTACTATCTTATCTGCAACTATTAAAATGCTAGAACAATTATAATAGAAATGATACGAGAGCAATGTGTCCTGGATCGATTTTTAGTCTAATAGCTCTATTATTGCGTGAAATCCCTTCAATGTTACAGTGTAAAGTGTATTTGATCAATCGGCTAAAGGTTAAACAACTTTTTAACTTTCATGGTTATAATTACTCAGATCTCGTGAACGTTTTCGAACGATTTGAGCTCAAAATACTAAAAAAAATGTTTAACATAGTTTATGTCGTAGTTTATGTAACATAGTCTCCATTATTAATTGATTTGAAATAGTATCATGAGATCATATGTTAAGGGGACCCTACACGGTCAATCAGAATTGCACTAATGACGTTCCGAATCATCGTGTAAGGTAGTGAATGAAGTACTGATGGTGGTGCGCTGCGGATTTCAGAACATCCGGAAACCAAAGGTTCATTCACGAGAAGTGGAGGGGGGACTGAGGTAAAAGTAGTGGGGGGGGGCTAACCATACTGCTGGATAGGTTAGGTTACCTAGGCCTCACGACCATTATAAATTTATGATTTTCATTATATGTAAATAGTTAAATAATTTTTCATATCCCCTGTTTATAATTTTAAATCATCTTCAACTATTTCTTTTAAATAGTCAAGTGGCAACAAATTTAAAAAAAAAATGAGGAAACTTCACAATTTACTTTAGGAAAAAAAAAAAACTTTATCGTTGTATATATTTATCAGTTATTTTCCCATTTTCCTCAACAAATTTATTATTTTCGCAATACCTTCCCTTAATTTTTGTGAGTAGTAGACTTATATTTTACTAACTTTTGTCAAAACGATTTTTTATGAGACTAACCTTACTACTAGATAGGTTAGTTTACCTAAGTCTCGTTATTAAGTAAATAATTTCATAAAAGTAAATAGTTGTTTATATCCCTAATCTATATTATTATTAACCATTTTCAATTATTTTTTCTTTAAATAGTCAAGTAGGCAATAAATTGAAGAGAAAAAAAAGTGGAAACTTCACATAAGTTATGAATAGTAATGATTGAACGTGTAAGGGTCTTCATGATCAAAGCGATAGCGGGCAATCTTGGAACTTCTTGTGACCTTCATTCATGAATTACCGTGTAGGGTCTGCTTTATGAATATGAATTGTTAATATTAAAAAAAAAAATCTGGTGTGTCCACTCACACGACTTTTCTAACTATTTCAGAAAAGTTGTTATATCTTTACATAGATTCATGAAGAAAAAAAAAATCGAACCACATTTATTTTCCCGAAAATTGATTAAACAAAAGATTTGAGTAGGATTTATTTGATAAATTAAAGCAAGGTAAACCGGTTTAAGGTAGATCAGTGCAAAAATTCCAATACCCACTAATATTGCTGATCAAAAAATGTTTGCCATACTTCGTATTGTCGAACAATAATTTCTGTTAAAAGTAGAGGAAATAGTGAAGCTTGTGTGAGGAAGGCAACAGATTTTCTTGCTTTCACTTAGTCATCTTTTTTCTCTCGTTCATTCCTTTCTGTCACCAGGATATGAACCCGTAATCTTACATTGGAAATTGGAAAGATGTAACTTCGTTAATAGTTTTCCAAAATGAACGATTTTTTCATAATTTTGTAGGGATTTTTCTGTCACAGGGATCAGTTGTCAAAATAAAAAACGAAGCAAAATCGGTTCAGTAGTTCCCGGGAAAACCGACAGACCAATGGCTAAAAATGTGTTTTTTTGACTCGGGTTCTCTGAAACGTTTAGATCTGTCGAAAACCGCATATCGGAAATTTGTCCCGATCGCAATACTTTCCTTACCTAGTGTATAGGTAGCAAAGTAAGAAACAACCGTTAATATAGAAATCGGAAAATTTTATTCACCCTTGAGGGAAAGCCATATTCCCTCAGGATGGATAAAATTTTCGAATTTCCGTAATTTTTTTTTTTGCATTAACATATTTTTTAGTTTTCAAAATATTCAATTCATTTTCATAATATATGATCTAATATCATTTTAAATCAATTAATAATCGATATATTTAAACTTTAATAAACAATGTTTTTTTTAGAATTTTGAACTAAAATTGTTTTAAAACATGTACGGAATCTAACTGAGTAGTAGTAATCATGAAAGTTAAAACTGAATGCGTACATATTCCCTCAGAGTGTATAAAATTTCCGAATTTCTGTAGTTGGTTATTTTTTAAAATTAAAATATTTTTTTATTAAGTTATTATTGAAAGTTCTGATATAAAAGATGGATCGGACAGCTGGAAGATAGATGAATTGGATTGATCCATAAGGAAGGTATCGGGCTAATTGGTGGCCTGCCTTCGTGGATAGTTTTCCAATTCATCAATGGATTGCTGCTCTCGAGACAATTGGGTTCGTTCCTTTATATCCACCTAGGCTATATATAGAGAGCTCAGTTCTCCACATCTCTCACTTTTACCTTTTAATTTATTTTGTTGGTCTTCTTTCTAAACATTAGGGATTTGATAAAAGGAATATATTACTTTAAAACATAATACCCAGTCCTGTCATAAATACTGTTACAAGAAAGTATATACAGATTCAACAGAAAAGCGCTGCAAATTATTTCACAATGGTTTATTATTTCCAAACAATTATACATCTAAAGTAACATTACCTTCCGAGTTACAAAGAAAAATAAACAAAAGGTGATTCCAATTATTGGACTAAATTGTTTTTCTTTAATCATTAGTAATATGCTAAAAAAAATATCATTAGTTCAGTAACACATTCAAAATTTAAAAACCAAATCAAGGATATAACATGTGGAGTAGAACATATTAAAAAAACCGGAGACCATATCTTTGTTTCCAGTTGTCCGATTTTAACGATTTTTTTTTTTTTTTGGAAATTTCGTAAACTTTTAAAAAACATATGGATAAATTTAAAGGGCATCGAGAATATGACTTTAGTGAAGTTTCATTGAAATCGGTACATTCGTTTAGCAACGCAAGTTTTTCGGCCATCATTTTGCCGGATAGTAATGTCGATGAAGGAGGATCATCCTTGGGTGTCCCCCGATTTTATATCAAAATTTGAAAAAATAGGTCCTGTAGTTTCGGAGAAAATGCGCTGACGGCGGATAAAAACATTTTTTATTCGTTTTTGGAATTCTATCTACTCTGAAACGTGAAACTTTTTGAGAGGGGGTAAAGTTTTTGAATTTTTTGGTCGATCACAATGGTTGATTATTGATAATAATAAAGCGAAATTATTTTTTTCACAAACGTAATTAGAAAATAAAATGTATATCATTGAGGAAAGCGCTCAACTGCTCGGACCAGAGATTGTTTGAGGCTTTCCAAGTTAGGTTGTGCTCTGCGGCATTCCATCCTCTCCAGTTCGGACCAAAGCAGATAACCTAGTGGGTTAAGATCAAGGCTTCCTGATGGAATGTTCTTTTCCAGCCACTGCTGACTTGACTTGGCCTTTTGAGCTGGAGCGGAATCCTACTGGAAAAACAATGACTTCCAGGCTTGAAAACAGGTTCCAAAATATCGTCCTGAAAGTTTTTAGTGGCTGTTTTAACTCTTTTTTTAAAAAATGGACCTTTGTGGTGCCATCAAAGCAAACTCTCCACCAAACCATCGCTGAGGAAGTGTGATGATCTCTTTCCATTCTTCCAATGACTTCCTCAGCTTCTTTAGAGCTGTGTGCGTATACACGGTCATTTTAGCGATTCAATTTTTCTTCAATTGTAAAATAAGGTTATTTCATCACTAAACATAATATTTCGATGAATACCATTGGTCTAATGCCCAAGGAGAACTTTGTATCTATCCACTATAATTTTTTTAGGGAAGTGGTTAGCCTTCGTCATTCTTCGAAATTCACCCATCCTAAGGGCAATTTTTATTATGTGAAACATTGATTCCCATTTAGCAAGACAGAATTTGTTGTTTTCGAATGATATTTCTTCTGATTCGCGCAGCCACTGCTCTCACTGCGTTTGCTATTTTCACAGTGCGGGGTCGATCACATACAGATAGAGTCTCATTATATCTATTTACAGAGCGGTACACGAACATACGGCTGATAACCAAAGTTTTCAAAATGTTGAAAATCTGACCTACATTTTCCAACTTTGTGTAAGGCGATCACAGCTATTCGGTTTTCTTTATCACCACACTCCAAGTTAACTGAGACGAAAGAAAAATTCAAACTAATTGTGATTATTATCTTGAAATGTAAAGAAAATAACCTGATAGAGGTAAGGATTATCTAAATAATACCCAAGGATTTAAACGAAGTTCAACTTTTGTAACAGTATTTATGGTAGAACTAGGTAAATAGGTAATTTTAAGATTAATAAATATATTCTTAAACAGAATCATATAACATTCCATCAATACTAGTTAAAATATAAATATAAAACGGAAACTCAAAGGGAGGATCGTTGATTTTGTTCCAGGCCACAACTAACGTTTCAGTTGATCGGATTTCAATCGAATACTGAATCAAGTGTTGGAATGTTTTGTTTTACATTGCTCCTGGAAAATACCTTCTACTATAACATTGTAGTGTAAAAAACACTACAAATTTCTAAACATAGGTTTATTATTTCAAAAAAGTTATGAATCACATAACTGTGGCGTATCATATAATTTTCTCTACTGATTATAGAGAAAATCAAACAAACATTTTATTTTATGCTTACTTTCTTTTCACTTAAAAATATAGAAAATTAAATTATTGTTCAACTGACAATGTAGGATGCCTCCGTAGATGTAATAGCCCGTGGTACAGACCTATTTTATCAAATTATAACATTCGCCTGAAACTTCGTAAATAGCTTTATCTCATCGTAACCTACAAATATTTTATTAATAAAACTTCTCAAAATCGCGGCATTTTCAATCTGAAGGTCCGCAAAACTTTGTCTATTTAATTGGGTACTAAAAACTCATGAATATCCATTTGATTTCCACTTGAATCATAAGATAATTTGAGCACAAAATAGAAAAAAAAAAGATATCCTTTAACAATCTTGGCTCCTTTGTCCTATATAACCTAGTACTTTTGACATTTATATATAAATAACCTCGGACCAATATTTTTGTGGGCCACCTATTTTTTCGACTTTGTAATTATATCATCTTACGAGTTGAGTTGAAAGCAAATGGGTATTAATAAATAGACAAATTTTACTGATATCCTGAATGAAAATGACCCAATTCCGAGAATTTTCGTAAGTGAAATATTTGTAGGTTACGATTAGATGAAGCTATTTACGAAGTATCAGACGGATGTTAATAATTTAATAATAACGGGTATGTAACACGGACTATAAAGTTTTTCCAAAATTAAGTTAATCATCTTTGCATTACAACATATGTTTAGACAGACTGAAAAGAATAATGAACAGTTGCGTGAGATTTGTAATTGGTGCCCCGAGATACTACCATGTCTCTCACCACTACACAGAGTTAGAGTGGCTCTTCCCCTCCATTCGAATACAATATTTCCTAGGTACATTCCTCTATCATATCATCAACAATCATCGTCCTTCCTACGCCTACAACCTTCTCCAATTCAAGTCCTCAGTCCACTCCCTCTCCACAAGATCTCGACCTTCCGACCTTTACATTCCTTCTCACAGATCTGCCTCGTTCCAAAACTCCTTTATTGCACGTTCTGTTAGTTTCTGGAATTCCCTTCCTATCAAAATTCGACATTCTTCATCCTTATCTACATTCAAAACCCTCCTATTCCAATTCCTGTCCCAAAAACAGTCAGGCACCAGCTAATCTTTTATGTAAAATTACATATTATCTATAAGACCATATTCACATATAGCTCATGACCTGAATACTTATTATAGATTCGACTTTCTTTTTCTCTTTTTTTTTTTTTTCTTTTTCAACAGAAACAGATTTTACTGTTAAGAAGAATATACATTTATTTTTTCTGTATTTTTTATTTTTTCTAAAAGGGTTTATTTATATTTTAACATCGTACATAGTTTTAAGTATCTTAGTATGGTTTCAAGAGTTTTTTATATAGATTTTTTTATTTTATTTTGTATATAGTATGTATAACCAATATTTTTTTCTTTTCTTTTCTTTAATGACCTATCATTATCTTAATTTGTTATGTTTGTTTTTATCTGGCCAGATGTAAAATTTTAATTTCTGTACTTTTTTGTTATTCTGAAGGGACTTCGTCCCAGAATAAAATTATTTTTCTATTCTATTCTATGTAAAAAAAATCAATAGGCCATATGTCTGTACCAAGTAGAAAGAATGATTTATTTTTTTTTTTTTGCTTATAGGAAATTTTCTTATCTTTATTTCAAATTATTATTATTAATTATTCCTTATCGGAATTTCAAATACTTATACACTTAACTGACTTAAATGTATTTTTTACTTAACTTAGCTATATATGAAATATATAGTAAGGGACGATACTGCGATCGTGAAAATTTTAAAATCTGAGTTTTAAACGGAAATACATTTTTTCGCACCTCCTGAGTCCAAATAACAAAGTCCCGCAAAATGGTCTGTGGCAAAATGTTAAAGTCGTATTGAAGATATAACATTGTTGTGATCTCTCGCACTGATTGGGTGGGATTTTAATCAACAATGGCTTTAACATTGCTCGTTTCAATTCCATGTGGACGACCAGACCGTTGAGCATCATTGTATGTCAAAATTTCCTGAATGAAATTTGGCAAACCAATTTTGACAGGTGCGTTCGGTTAAGGCATCATCCCCATAAACACTGCAAATTTTTCTATGAGCTTCTGTAGTACGCTTACTTTTTTTAAAAATAATATAAAAAAAAATAAACCGATAATGGATGATGTTTTCTTCCATATTCACAGTGCAATAGGAAACACAATACTAAGCTAATTTCAACAAGAGTTAATAAATATAGTTGTTGACATATTACAAACAGGATAAACAGTCGACCTCAGGGATTAATTCATCAGATAAGAAGTGTATCATAGTGACATAAAAATAAACAGAAAACCGAATGGACTTATTTGCCAACCCAATATATAAATAAACAATCGCTATAATTGAGTAAAATCGAATAAAATCTTAATAAATTATTATAACAAGGAAATAAGTAAATAAACATGAAATGTAAGAATGAGTACACATTTTTTTGTTGTAGGATGGATGTTTCATGAAGATTTTTAGAAAGACAATGGTTGCCAAGATATATTTCTCCGCCTCCCTCCACTGCATTTTTTTCATTGTCTTTCCTCAGCCCCGTGAAATATTAGTCTTCAAAGCAAGATATAAGACTTCAGGAGGGCCTATTGTAAGAAATACGAAATGTCCCGTTTGCTGCACATATACACTTATATGTTTTATACACTTATTGCTGCACTACGATATTTAAGCAATCAGCAATCTTCCTTATTTTTCTAAACTATTTGCAATTCAAACAACTTTTGTTAAAACCTTGAAGTCCAAAAAAATAAATAAAATAGAATAACTATTTGAAAAAAAAATCTTCTCCCTCGTTCCAATTCGATATATTTAAATCTATTTTAACTCATGAATTCAGTTTAAAAAACTTCGTTAAATGTTTTAACAATAATATCGATTATTATAATCGATTCGTCCGCAAAAATGGGAATAATTCTGGTAATATAGATATAGACGGTAATATATTACAACACGTAGAAAAGTTTATGTATCTAGGGTCTACGATAATTAGGTAAAAAAAAAACGAAATTGAAGAGGAGATTAAGATTAGGCTGAAGGCGGGAAATTCTTGTTATTTTTCTGTGACAAAATTGCTTAGCTCTTGTCTGGGAACTTAAAAATTAAAATCTATAAGACCATTATTTTGCCTACCTATTCATTTATGGATGCGAAACGTGGCAGCTTACATCAAGGGATGAGCAACGTCTTAATGTTTATGAAAATAAAGTTTTGCTTAGAATATTCGGACCGAAAAAGGAGCGGAGAGTTCAGACGGTTACACAACGCTGAATTGCATGAACTGTATCCAGTTAATATAATTGAGGTGATTACATCGCGGCGAATCAAATGGGCTTGTAAAATTGTTGGGCTGAGTTCGTAAAAAGTTTAATATTTGCTGTGCCGAATAGTAAACGTCCGAGGGCTAGACCGAAGCGAAGGTGGGAAGATTGCATTAAAGCCGATCTGAAGGGACTGGGTTTGGACGGCGAACGGTGGAGGGAGGTGTGTAACAAGCGATTGGTGGTGTCGGCATCGAACCTTCGGGTTCGCTAAGTCTTTTATTATTACAAAATCAATTAATGATGTAGGAAAAATTGACTATATGGCTGGGCTAATGGCTAGAAGTAGCTATGCAACTAGTTTGAATTTCTCTTCAATATATGTTTTTCAGTTTTTTTTGTATCTATACTTTACCTTCAGTTTTCCATGACGGAAAGGAGTAAATTATATTATGTACATGTATAAATTTATTTTGATGCAGGTAGGAATTTTTTCTTGCTCTTTTTTGGTACTTTGGTACTTTTTTGGCACTTTCTTGACTGAATTTGCTTGATAATTACCAAAATTTCAAATTATAGCAGCTGATGTTTGTATTCATTATTAGCAGAGGCTTCAAAAAATATTTATATTACAGAAAGGTGTGTAATAAGCGATTGGTGGTGTCGGCATCGAACCTTCGAGTTCGCTAAGCCTCTTATTATTGAATAATCGATCCATTAGTCAATATT